TATATATATATATATATATATATATATATATATATATATATCTATATATATATATATATATATATATATATATATACCAGACGACTGCTGAGTAAAAAGTGGAAAACTTATCGACAAAATAAACTTTGCAAGTTAAGGAATTATTTTGAGCTTTAACAGCAGCATTTGATAAAGCTTCGACCCTTTGTTGATCAAGATAGGTCTTAATGTCGCTGCGGAGTCAGTTTATGAACTCTGCAACTAATTTTATTTGTGTGTGATTATTATACTGTTGAGCAAAGAAGTGCCCCAAAATATAATTTTGTTTTTTTTTAAATTAGCAAACTATTTATCAATCTCTTTGTCTTTTTAAGTGGTACTAACCTTATACTCACTAGAACACAAAGTGAAAACTTGAAAGAAGAATTTAAGATATTGTGAATTAAATCCCAAATACCACCTACTACAAGTTATATCACAAGTCCAGTAGCGTTAAACATAAATTCCAATATTGGTGATGTTAATGTGCCTTGAATTTGGTGATGTGTAAACAGTCTTTTGATGTCTCACAATATTATAATCCAAAATGTCCTTGACTGAATTATAATTCCAAAATCATGTTTTAGTCCAAGAATATCTTTCAGTTCTTTGTAATTTCAGTGAATATTATTTTGACTACATAAATTTACCCAATGTTGTAACTGAGCACATCAGTAGGACTGATTCCTCTTTGCAATTATAAACAAGATAGATTAATCCTTAAGTATACAATTTCATATGCCCCTCCTCTTAACTTAGGTCGCATTTACCATTTTATGGAAATGCCCTATCATCTGAATGGAAATTTTTCTTTCTGGAACCTGTAAGGTCAGAATCAATACTTTATACTTAACTAAAACTGAAGTAAACATGTATACAATCATTAATAATCTGAATATTTAATCTATAATCAAAAGAAATATTATCTGTGTAGTATGCTGTTTATAAAATAAATCCCACTGGAGAGGTATATCATTACTTGATTTTGGACAATGGTTAATTATATACATAAAATGCAATCATCAAGAGAAAAAAAAAAAAAAACAAACAAGAGGAATTAAATATACATAACTTAACTCGTAGACGAATGAACATATTGCACATACCTCGTTGTGTCATTTAAATCACAGACGAATTAACTCTTTACACATACCCCATTGCAACCTGTAAACACATAGACGAGGCGTGTTCAGCCCAAGGAGCCTCATGCGACAAATTCCTAGCATTGTGTGGCCCGTGACCACGTGGCCGTCCTTTTGAAAATATGCATTTTAATAATATGCATAATTAGTGGTAAGGAACTTTTGTTGCTCCTGCGACCATCGACTTTAAGTTTTGACCCTCGGCCATTAACAATTGAAGACCCTGTTTATAGACGAATGATTTCTTTACACATTGCGTCATATAACTCACCGACAAGTGAACTCACTGAATAATCCTCCTGGTATCATTTTGCTCAAAGACGAATTAGATCATTTCACATACCTCACTGCATCCTGTAACTAAGACACGAGAGAACTTCCACGTACCATACATTATCATGCAAATACATATAAGAAAGAACTCATTAAGCATATCACACTTTATTATGTTAACTTATGGACGAATGAACTCATACTTACACTATAATGGTGCAAAATTTTGTTGAGATAATTTAGCAATTCATTTTGTCTTGGTCTACGTGAAACGTAACCACTACCACTAAGACTAATATATATATATATATATATATATATATATATATATATATATATATATATATATATATATATATATATATATATATATGTGTGTGTGTGTGTGTGTGTGTGTAAGATTCTCAATAAATTGATGACTGCAATCGATTGGATCCGCTCTCTTTGGGACATGAATTGAATTAAAATTATAGTCCGTTCGATAACGGTTCGACAGATGTGTCACTTTAATTGCAGAGTTGACACCAACTTATGCAAATATTTTAGAAAATCTGGGGACATCTGAAACAGGTGTCATTCATAGAATTATATTTTCCAGAATACTCATTTTTAAAGGCGGTCTAGAGAGGATTATTCTGATTTCAAAAAAAGCAAAAAAGCAATCATGATTGGCAAATCTAAACGAAGAGGTGTGTGTGTGTTTGTGTGTGTGTGTGTGTGTGTGCGTGTGTGTGTGTGTGTGTTCCCAGACGGAATTCGTGGTTTTAAGAAATTACTTTCTTGAAATTAGACATTCTGAGTTTCTGAGAGAAGCGATAATTTAACTTCCGTATGTTGCAGGTATCTCTCGTTAGGTTGTTCAAAGAACATGTGTCGGATATTTGAAGATACAAAAGCGAGAGACTCCGCTGCCTAGTAAAAGCACAATGTTAGTCTCAGTTGTATACAATATGTTCCTTTATGTAAATTTCTAATTATATGTGGAATTTATTGATTTTATATTAATTCTTCAATTTTCCTTTAGTTCTCAACCAAAGGGTTTGTATGCCTTTGATATATTACACAAC